AACGGCGGCGTTGGCTTGGGCAGGCCTGGCTCTGCTTCTAAGGCTCTGTGTCTCGAGGCCTTGAATAACAACGCTTTTGGGGGTTGTGTGCTCCCGAATGCGCTGTGCGGGTTGTGTGAGAAATGTTTGTTAATATTTGTTTTTTACGTGGAGACAGATATGTGAGGGAGACGTATTGTCTGCTTGTTTATTTTGTCATTGAGATGTTGAGTCACTTTCTTGGGCAGCTCAGAGTGCCTCCCCTGCTCAAATGAGAGTGGCCGCAGTGCTCCTCACTGTTAGGGGCACTGAGTCAGCCATGCAAATTACATAACCCCGCTGTGGTGGGGGCCTGTGTGGTAAACCACAGAGCGGTTCTCCGTTTCATTAACCCACGAGGAATGATAGGCAGAGTTCACCCACCACTGGAATTTGTAATAACTCGTAACCTTCAATTGTGAGTCTACCTGTGTGTTTTAGGTATGTCAAACAGGTCACTATTGCGTACTACACTCATCCTGGCCTCTATAGAGTTCTCACCAGATTAAACAACATTTACTTGAACGTGACTAATCTCAGCACCATTTTTCCTGGAGTGCCATTACACACTGATAATTGCAGTTGAATTAACCGCTCATAGCTCCTTGACGGTGGAATAATTTTACTTGTACGCCCTACAAAAGGGAGCCTCGCACCGGGCTTTATTGAATGTTGCGATATACTGGTGGCGTCTCATCTGGAGCTGCTCCCTTTCCCAGTTTGTTGAAAGCGACCGAGGACAAAGCAACTGCTTGGTTTGATTAACCAGTCTCTCCACAAAGCTTTTGGTTAAGGTGTCCCGGGGCTTCATCCTAGCACCGTGGCTGTCTGTCACTTATGCCCCCTGAATATGAATGAGGTCTCATGTTGGCACCCACTCCACTCTGCTTCTTAACGAGGCCACCAATTACCGTTACTTGGAGGAGCCTCCTGGGTGCACCGTGGTCTTACCACGGCGGAGGGAATAGCACTCCGCTGTCAAAGCTCTGGGCAATGTCTGAGGTATGTGGTCAGATGTTCCATGGCACACGCAGTGCTCCCCAATTCCATACTGCAGCCAAGGTCTTGCCATTGGTCACCCAAAGATCTATCTTTCCAGTCGCTTTAAATGTATCTGTGCATCAGAGGTATATTTTCATTGTATTAAATAATCCTGCATGATGTCGCTCCCGTCCATCTCTCTGACTTAAAAAATATGCACTGGTGGGGAGGGTTACTTTTGAAAGGTAAGTCATCTCTGATTACGGAGTGATGTAAGTTTTAGGGGGGGGAAAGTATATTTAATCAGATATTTGGTGTTGTTTTAAAGGAATGTAAACTGGTAACTTTGTTTGCATTTGCAATTGATAAAATTATTTACAGCCCCTCATCATTCCACTATTGGATGAAGACCTCCCTACACCGAGCTGGTCATGAGGATTGTTTGACCATACTTCACCATACTGGTCAGTGTGGGTTGATGGAGGGGGGGGGGGGGAGAGTAGAGGACCACTTCATATCACTCTCATCAATATTACAATGATAGATGGCTCCTCTTCTGTGTTTCCACCATTGTCTATAACTAATTATCAACATGAAAAAACCCCGTAATTGTTAAGGGTGATTGTATTCACGCAAGCATTTATGACTGCCATGATAACATCAAACTCAGTAAACGTGATAATTTTGGTTTAATCTTGGAAGGGAAAATTATATTTCAATCCAGGGCCATAACAAGGCTTGCTCAGTGCATGAATGTAGGTTAAGCATTAGTTCCCCTGAGCCTCTCAGCCATCAATTAGTAATTACCAATTAATAACACAGTGATACAATTGTGCGCTTCTTATAATGGTCTTAAAAAGCGTATAATTACCCGATATGCATGCACTTGATACTTGTCCTATCTCTCTGTTGAAAGGGACATGGGGCCCGAATCATGTTGTTTGGTTTAGTGTTTTTGCTGATATTCCGCAAAATAAAATTGCACCAAATTCCTGTTGCAGTTTTAGGCTAAAATCCCACTGAGTGGAATGGGTGGAGCGGCGTCCTCTACTGCCAATCAGCGGCGTCTTCTACAGCCAATCAGTGGCTAGGGGAGTGACTGCTGTCACTACGGTAGCCCTGCTTGACCGCCCAGTCTGACCAATCAGGCTCCGTTATTTTCACACACGAACACAGGCAAATGTGTGTATATATATGTAGAATCTCTTTCGCACCGTACATGGCCAACCGTGCTCAATCGTAGGTGCGGGGGAAGGACAACTAACCAAAAAGTAGAATGTGCGCGCAATTGTTTTCCGCCATTTGCCAAAAATGCGTATTTTTAACCCGAAGTCAAAAAGATGTCTTAACGCCGCATAAAAACAACAATGACGATGCTGATGCTGATGATAATAGATACAAGGGTAGAGATGATAGCTACTCACTATTCCGTAACCTGCATTGCTACTATGTATCAAAGGGGCGATGCAGCGTTACCTCTCTGGGAAAACGGCCGGGGTCAGGGAGAGGTGAAAGCGGATCGCAATCACGGATTCCCACCATACAAACGGCCAGGGGTCAGACAAGGATCGAAACGACAGATTGGGAAGGACCAATCAGAGGGTTCCACAAGGGAGCGTGGGATTGGACAGAGCCAGCCACAAACCAGTATAAAAGGGCGAGCACTGAGAGCGCGAGGGAGTTCCCCCTACACGAAGACCGAAGCCCGGGCTGAAGATAGATAGGACCCTGGACCCAGCCTTCCAGCCCTTCTAAGGGCTGAGGCTCAGCGTAACCAGTGGTCGGGGACCCACCGAGCCAGCGGTGGGTCAGCTAGCCTCCCCTAGGTCCCAGCCGGAGGACGCTTAGGTTAGCGGGCAACTCGTGAGTTAAGGTCCCGCCGAGTCCGGAGGCCATACCTCCTTAGGTCTCGGGTAAGGGGACCGTATACCCCTTGTGTGTTAGGGACTGTGTCGAAGGAAAGACAATAAACAGTGTGTGCCTCATATAGAAGTTTATTCGTCCTTATACAATACTACACAAGAAATAGTTTTTATTATGAGCTTAATGATGACAATGCTAGTGATAAATTAAGATGTTGAATTAAATCCAATTATGATTTATGAAGCTAATGAAGATACAGATAATTGATAATGCTGCTTCTGCAGCTTGTGATGATCCACAAACCCCAAATTTGCTAATCCCACACCAACCCTTATCCTGTGACGATCCACAAACTTTGGCCTCCGAAGCGCCAGATTGAGATATGCACACTCTACTGGCCACCTGTGAAAAAGAGCTTTATAGCTCATCAGATTCCCCCAGTCGATATAAAGATTCTGATTTACTTAAGTCGCCATGAGGGGGGGCACCAAAGAGCCACAACTGGTATTTGACACGGCCTGGAATTGAACTCATGTTATGGAAATCGTAGTACAGGGTGGTCCAGATGTCTTGTGACCCACAAATTAATTAACCCCTATCAATTGTTTTTCCTTTGCTTATTCATTTCTGTTCTCACGCCCATCGGTATAAATGTGTTTTTTTATGGTTTAGAGAATTAATAGGGGGTCACAAGACATCTGGACCATCCTGTGCAATGCGCGAGTCACTGCACCACCGCTCCCCACAAATCCATAACGTTCAAAAGCAGTGGATTGATTAAAGGTGTGTAAAATTATTTGTGACAATTGCAAGAGCAAGGATCAAATTATGTGAACCTTGGATGAATGCAACAACGAGGAGAGTGTGTATGGAATTACAGTGCAATGCAGGATTATGTTTACAGTTTCTAACGTTGGGTCAGTCAGTGGATATATGACAACACTAGCCAGTAGCTCATTGTTAGTGTCTTAAGATTCAGTTGTATTTTCTATCGTATGCAATTCCAAATTGTTTTGTATTTTAAGCCCATCATATGATTGGAAATAATTTTACAGTGTTGCCCCGCCGAACGCGTGGGTTTCCTCCAGGTATTCCATTTTCCTCCCTGTTATGTAACAGGATGCACCGTCTGGTGCAATGTGCGATAGGAAAACAAATAGTACGTCGCGCGAGTTAATAATAGAAATCAAGTCAAAGGCACGAGGATGCTTTGTGACAGTAGCGGTGAGCATGCCGTGAGTTGAGTGCCCCACCCAGATATAGCTTGACATCTATGCCATCCCAGCGCAACCACTCATTTCCACTGCTATGCAACTGTGATTGATTGCAATTTTATTGATAGTGGTAACTGTGTTCACACCGGGGTTTATTGTTTGTTTTTACGTTGTTTTGTCCACTTAGGATAGTCACTGAATGTATTTAAATGTAAAATCATTGGATGTCTTCATTCACATGGTCAAGTCTCGGTGTCTCCCTTGCAAAAAATGCATTGGGGTGAGTGCCATTTGTAGGCACCTACAAACGAAAACTCTCACGCGTCTTTAACTATCTATTCCACATCCATTCGTGCAATTCGTGTAAGGTAAAACACTTCCCTTGAACCTTATGAAAATGAAAATGTCTCTCCAGTTCTTCTGCTTACCCTTGTGCGTTGTTTGGGAAAATTCCATTCACGTCAAAATCAATTAATCTTCCAGCTCAAGAGGGCATTGGCTGGCACTCATCTTTGTTTTTGACCTTGATTCAGCAGTGGGATTTTCACATTCCCATAACATAGGGTAACACAGCAATTGTTGTTCAATGTCAAGTGGCCAATGTTAGTGAATGTCGTTAATGCCCCTCCCTGCCACACGCCATCACAGCCTTCTGCTCGAACTTGCGACTGTTGCATAATCATCACCAGACATCAAATGCCTGCTATTAAACTATCCCGTCACCAGCTCCGGGCGAGACTCATTAAACAGCACCAGACCAAGGTGACCCGAACGCACGAGGTGATTGTGGGCCGTGCCATCACCCACACTTGGCCACTTTTGTATCTCCCGGTTGGAGTTTCTAATTGTATCTCTTGCTCGCGAGTGTCCAGTTGCGTCGGGTGATGGTGAGGTGTGGGGGGCAGGCTGCGTGCGAGGCCGTACCCACGTACATGACGCCCTCTTTGGTTCTTTCGGCCGCCTCGGTCACTCCCTGTTTTGTCTTCTCCACGGCGCCCACGACGCCCTCCTTGGCCATCGAGAAGCCTTTCTTGAACACGTCCATGCTGCCTGCGCACGTCGACAGCGACATCACCGTCAATCGTCCATCACGTTTCAGCGCGACAGGCAGAGACACCCCTGGCCGAGCGGGGAATAACGATGACCGCTCTCGGCAGTGGCGTAGCGTGGTTGGCATGGATGGGGCCCTGTTGGAAGGAAGGAAATGGGGCCCACTCACCGTCTGCCCTCGTCCTAGGCCGGAGCCTGGGCTCGGTCGGGCCTGTGGGCCCCGGTACAGCTGCACTACATGCACACTCAATAGCAATGCCACTGCCACCAGAATATACCTGCCAACTTAACAATACGGCAAAATTATATCGGAAAATTAAAGTACATCGATACTCAAATCAGCATTTGGCGGTGCCCATAATCACTGGAAATCTGGAGCCAGTGGTGGTCATTCCACGTGACTGTGCCAATGACCAGTCTGGCCACAGGACACCCACTGTTGACTTCCAGCAAAGTGGTGATTAACTTACTGACCCAGGAAGACATTATGGGCTGAAACAACCCTCGACTGAGATTTGAACTTGCAGGATTCTGCTAAAGAGTCCACCGTCATTGCCACTAAACTGGATTTATAAAATATAAACAATCAAATACGTGTATCCTAGTCGTGCTAACGGCACCGAGGCACACGTTTAAACCATTCCAAACCCCCCTATGCAGCAACCCATGCCACTGCAGTACAGCCCAAACACACAACTGTAAGCCCCCTGCTACATATTATTTGTCTTTCTTACACATCCTCTAGACAGCGTTGTATTTGGCAGTGTAGACAGCCCCCTTCTTACTCTTTGGTTCTTTCGGTAAAGGCACGAAGACAGAAAATTAATAGATCACGACGTTTCGATCGCAACACAAACACAGCAGGAGAACTGCAGACGCAGGAGCAGTTCTCCTGCTGTGTTTGTCTCACCTGATGACGGTTACTTGTGTTGCGATCGAAACGTCGTGATCTATTATATTTCTACCTACGTGACTTTACCGAAAGAACCAAAGAGTATGGATTCCTGCAGTCACGAAAGCTTCAAATCAAGCCTCCTTCATCCCGTCCTGCTGCCACTGCTGCGGCTGCTGCTGCTGCTCACCACAAAGAATGATTTGCGTTGCATCCATGACACGTGGGTGCCGCTGGTAACCCGGCGAGAGTGACTCGACCCTGGTGTGAGAGATCCACCTCGAGGCTATGTTCCGCAGAAGCACAAATCTCGGCGATGGGCGAGTACTCTGTACAGCTATATGGGAAATACCGGCAATAACAATTGCCTACCATCCTGAACCCCAGCACTGAGCTCCACCATGAACCCCAGCACTGAGCTCCACCATGAACCCAGCACTGAGCTCCACCATGAACCCAGCACTGAGCTCCACCATGAACCCAGCACTGAGCTCCACCATGAACCCAGCACTGAGCTACACCATGAACACAGCACTGAGCTCCACCATGAACCCAGCACTGAGCGCCACCATGAACCCAGCACTGAGCTCCACTATGAACCCAGCACTGAGCTCCACCATGAACCCAGCACTGAGCTCCAGAATGAACCCAGCACTGAGCTACAACATGAACACAGCACTGAGCTCCACCATGAACCCAGCACTGAGCTCCACCATGAACCCTAGCACTGAGCTCCACTATGAACCCAGCACTGAGCTCCACCATGGACCCAGCACTGAGCTCCACCATAAACCCAGCACTGAGCTCCACCATGAACCCAGCACTGAGCTACACCATGAACCCAGCACTGAACTCCACCATGAACCCAGCATTGAGCTCCACCATGAACCCCAGCACTGAGCTACACCATGAACCCAGCACTGAACTCCACCATGAACCCAGCACTGAGCTCCACCATGAATCCAGCACTGAGCTCCACCATGAACCCAGCACTGAGCTCCACCATGGACCCAGCACTGAGCTCCACCATGAACCCAGCACTGAGCTCCACCATGAACCCCAGCACTGAGCTCCAGAATGAACCCAGCACTGAACTCCACCATGGACCCAGCACTGAGCTCCACCATGAACCCAGCACTGAGCTCCACCATGAACCCCAGCACTGAGCTCCAGAATGAACCCAGCACTGAACTCCACCATGGACCCCAGCACTGAGCTCCACCATGAACCCAGCACTGAGCTACACCATGAACCCCAGCACTGAGCTACAGCATGAACCCCAGCATTGAACTCCACCATGAACCCAGCATTGATATTGACCCGTCAGAGCACTGATTTTCTTTTACTTTTTTCAATTTTGTCTGCTGATTTGTTTCTACAAATTTGTTTCCACAAATACATATACCAAAAAATGTTTTGTACGCTGAAAAACGCTTGTTAGTATCTAGTTTGTGTTTCGTATCAACCTATTTTTACTCCTCGTGTCTGTCTCCATTCAGCCGGAGATCACTACTCATCAACATATACTCTACATGGATCCCTTTGGCTTATCAATCGCTATGCAATTAGATCCCTCTACAAACCTAATTTCAATACTGGTCCTCTAGGAAGTCTTCAAGAATTCAATCTCGTTGTTTTCCTTCCTTAACCATTCAGGGCCCATCATTTTTTGGTTTTTATCTCGCTCATCCTCCTCAGGGGTGGAATATAAACCAGCCACATTAATGCTGTCACAATTTCTATGACACAAACACATTTTTTGATCATAAAGGGTTCTGCATATTGCACCTAAGCATAAGAAGTCTGCGACCTAAAATCGATTCACTCAAATGTGTTCTACTTTTATCTCCGACTTTGCGGGTATCTCTGAAACCTGGCTCTGCTCAAAGATCGCTGACTCTGAAAATTTCGATTGCGGGATTTAACACCTTCACAACCGATCGACTCGCTCCACCCGGAGGTGTCCAAATATACACACTAAATATACACACTAAATGTACACACTAAATATACACGCTAAATGTACACACTAAATGTAAACACTAAATATACACAGTAAATATACACACTAAATATACACACTTAATATACACACTAAAGATCCACACTAAATGTACACACTAAATGTACGCACTAAATATACGCACTAAATGTACACACTAAATCTACCCACTAAATATACACACTTAATATACACACTAAATATCCACACTAAATGTACACACTAAATGTACGCACTAAATATACGCACTAAATGTATGCACTAAATATGCACACTAAATATGCACACTAAATATCCACACTAAATATCCACACTAAATATATACACACTAACTATACACACTAAATATACACACTAAATATGCACACTAAATATACACACTAAATATCCACACTAAATATGCACACTAAATATACACACTAAATATACACACTAACTATACGCACTAAATGTACACACTAAATCTACCCACTAAATATACACACTTAATATACACACTAAATATCCACACTAAATGTACACACTAAATGTACGCACTAAATATACGCACTAAATGTATGCACTAAATATGCACACTAAATATGCACACTAAATATCCACACTAAATATCCACACTAAATATATACACACTAACTATACACACTAAATATACACACTAAATATGCACACTAAATATACACACTAAATATCCACACTAAATATGCACACTAAATATACACACTAAATATACACACTAACTATACACACTAAATATACACACTAAATATACACACTAAATATGCACACTAAATATACACACTAAATATCCACACTAAATATACACACTAAATGTACACACTAAATGTACACACTAAATATACACACTAACTATACACACTAACTATACACACTAAATATACACACTAACTATACACACTAAATATACACACTAACTATACACACTTAATATACACACTAAATATACACACTAAATATACACACTAAATATACACACTAACTATACACACTAAATATACACAATAAATATACACACTAAATATACACACTAAATATACACACTAACTATACACACTAAATATACACACTAACTATACACACTAAATATACACACTAAATATACACACTAAATATACACACTAACTATACACACTAAATATACACACTAAATATACACACTAAATATACACACTAACTATACACACTAACTATACACACTAAATATACACGCTAAACATACACACTAAATATACACACTAAATATACACACTAAATATACACACTAAATATACACACTAACTATACACACTAACTATACACACTAACTATACACACTAAATATACACACTAACTATACACACTAACTATACCAACTACTATACACACTACTATACACACTAACTATACACACTAAATATACACACTAACTATACACACTAACTATACACGCTAAATATACACGCTAAATATACACACTAAATATACACACTAAATATACACACTAACTATACACACTAAATATACACACTAACTATACACTAACTATACACACTAAATATACACACTAAATATACACACTAAATATACACACTAAATATACACACTAACTATACACACTAACTATACACACTAACTATACACACTAAATATACACACTAACTATACACACTAACTATACACACTAACTATACACACTAACTATACACACTAAATATACACACTAACTATACACACTAACTATACACGCTAAATATACACGCTAAATATACACACTAAATATACACACTAAATATACACACTAACTATACACACTAAATATACACACTAACTATACACACTAACTATACACACTAAATATACACACTAACTATACACACTAACTATAACACTAAATATACACACTAAATATACACACTACTATACACACTAAATATACACACTAAATATCCACACTAAATATACACACTAACTATACACACTAAATATCCACACTAAATATACACACTAACTATACACACTAACTATACACACTAAATATACACACTAAATATACACACTAAATATACACACTAACTATACACACTAACTATACACACTAAATATACACAA